TTCTCTCCTGTGTGGACTCTTTTGTGCTTCCCTAAGCCCGAACATGCAGCAAAACATTTCCCACACTCCTGGCATTGGTATGGCTTCTCTCCTGTGTGGAGTCTTTTGTGTATCACCAATTGTGAATTGTAAGCAAAACATTTCCCACACTCCTGGCATTGGTATGGCTTCTCTCCTGTGTGGAGTCTTTTGTGGCTCACAAATTGTGAACAGTAAAACATTTCCCACACTCCTGGCATTGGTATGGCTTCTCTCCTGTGTGGTATCTTTTGTGGCTCACCAAGGCTCTATAAGGAAAACATTTCCCACACTCCTGGCATTGGTATGGCTTCTCTCCTGTGTGGAGTCTTTTGTGTTTCACCAGGGCTGAACTGTCAGCAAAACATTTCCCACACTCCTGGCATTGGTATGGCTTCTCTCCTGTATGGAGTCTTTTATGCTTCAGCAAGTCTGCACTGCGAGCAAAATATTTCCCACACTCCTGGCATTGGTATAGTTTCTCTCCTGTATGGAGTATTTTGTGCCCCACCAAGTGTGAACTGCGAGCAAAACATTTCCCACACTCCTGGCATTGGTGTGGCTTCTTTCCTGTGTGAAATCTTTTGTGCCTCACCACGTCTGCACTGCGAGCAAAACATTTCCCACATTCCTGGCATTGGTATGGCTTCTCTCCTGGATGGAGTTTTTTGTGCCTCACCAAGTTTGAACTGCGAGCAAAACATTTCCCACACTCTTGACATTTGTATGGCTTCTCTCCTGTGTGGAGTCTTTTGTGCTCCACCAAGTGTGAATTTTGAGCAAAACATTTCCCACACTCCTGGCATTGGTATTGCTTCTCTCCTGTGTGGAGTATTCTGTGGCTCACCAAGTGTGAACCTTGAATAACAGATTTCACACATTCCTGGCTTATGAAAGCCTCAGTTTCTTCAAAGATTTCTTCTTGGCTCGGATCTGGCAATTTGTAATCGGCAACACATTTTGCTGATACTTTCCATTTACAGTGGCTTTTCCCAGCACTGARTGTCGCGTGAAGTCCCATATTTTGGGTAAAGCACTGCCCACATACATTGCATTTGAAGGGTCTTTCTCTGGCAGAACCTCCATCTTCTCTGTGGCTTTCCTGGCGCTTAGGAAGGCCCCCATTGGGTCCCAAATGTTTCCCGTGTTTGGTGTTCCAGTTATCTGCTGTGAAGAAGGAGGATAGTAACAATCATTCTTCAGTGTGCGTGATAAGGACTCTAGGGAAATGGTATAAGAAAGAGATGGAAATGATCTTTTTTACAACATTGTTATGGAAGAAAAGAAGATATAACTGCTGTCCTCACCCCACCCCTTGTTTGACTGCCTGGATCCTCTAAGTTGTTGTTGTTGTTGTCTATTTAAAGATGGACACTCTTTGACTGACTGGCGCCTCTAAGGGAAAGGTGCTCCAGAGGCTACTCCTCAGACCAACCACTTTTTTTTTAATTTTGTCTCCTCTTTTCTAGGGGAATGKATGACTTTTCTCTTCACATTCCAATGCTTGCCTTCTTTWCTAGCTAAATCTTTACCTTGCTACCACTCATTTCACAATCGCTCCCTCCTTTTTATTTCTCTCCCCAACCTCCGGTTCTCTCTTCCCATGTTCAATTAAGGTTCGATTTTTCTGCTCCAACGTAGAATGTCCTATAACTAATTTCAGAGAGCTACAGAGATTGTTACAGTTTTGCATGACAAGGCAGGAAAGATACAAGATAGTGACTGTAAAAAAAAGGGAGAACAATAATGAAGGCAGAGAAGGGAACAATAAAAGGAAGGTCTGCAGTACTCAACCAGATATAGTGACCTCCACGTAACACCAYCCTGGAGAGAGTGGATATTGCCTCCTAACCATCCCAGTTTGTGAGGAGTGAGAAGACTGTGCACCAGAGGGAAGAGATGGTGGTAATCCAAATGCCGCAATCACAGAGACTTCTTGGAAATACCATTCTGAGGTCTCTCCCTTTGTTCAGCCAATTGCTCTGGTTCCAATACCAATATAATTCTTCATGGCTTTTACAAGGGAGCTGCAACTTCTTCACATATGAGAATTTAGGGAAGTGGCAGTGGATATATAAACTATTTCCTGACCTTTAGGGTGGAATAATTTTACATAGTGTTTCAAAAAGATGGACTCAGATTGATTTCTGCAATTGTGAATCTACCATGAATGACACTCTCACCACTTGAAAGAGAGGGGCATAGAGTTGGATTACTGCTATATGCCTCTCCCAGTGCACAAAAAACCCCGAGCCCCAGTTATTCACAAGCACAGAACATAAGCCCTGCCTTGAGGACCCTCAGTGATTGAGATGATTTCAGAAATTACTTCCCCCAGGGAGCTGCTGATTGGGATCCTGCATTTTGAAATAGAAATCCCCATCAGTGAGGGAGCCTTACCAAGAGAGTCCACCATCCCACGAATCTCCTCCATGGTCTGCACGTGCAAGGCTTTCTGACCAGGATTCAGGAGAGCCCACTCCTCCAAAGAGAAATAGACATCCACATCCTCAAAGGCAATAGGACCCTGTTGGAAAAAGAACACATTTCCTTCTCACATCAGGGAAATTAAGAAAAATGCTTACAACAACAACAACAACAACAACAATAATCTTTATTTATACCCCGCCACTATCTCCCCAACGGGGACACGGGGCAGCTTACATGAGGCCAAGCCCAAACAATATATTACAGTAAAATAAAACCAAAAACATAGGCAACAACATCATAATTACATAAAAACATATGAATACATTAACAATATAACATTACAATAAACACAATCACAGTGACAGTGGATGGGCCTCATGTGCAGGATAAAATGTTAAGAAAACTCGGGTGAGATAAGAAGAGGAGCAAGTTATTTGCAAGAGGGAGCTCATAAAAAATGCAGGGTTGTGAAACCAAACTTTCCAATTAGGGGGGCGTGTACTCCAGTGACAGAAGCGTTGAGGGAAGCAGTAGTGTCATGTTGTGCCCCTACTCACCAAAGGCACAGGGAAAGAGCCAGGTTTTAAAGTTCTTTTTAAAGGTTTCTAAGGTAGGGGCTTTCCTGATCTCTCCAGGTAATGAGTTCCAGAGTTGGGGAACCACAGAGGAGAAGAATCTCTCCCTTGTGCTTGCAAGACGAGCTTGTGAAACTGACAGGGGCGAAAGGAGGGCCTCCCCCAAAGATCGAAGGGCCCGGGTTAATTCATGGAGAGAGATACGGTCAAGAAGGTAGTGGGGGGGGGGGGTCCCTAACCGTTTAGGGCTTTATAGGTGATAACCTGTACCTTGAATTAGGCCCGGAAAATAAGTGGCACTACTTAAACAGGGGGGTCGACCGCCCCCTGTAACTAGCCCCAGTTATTAATCTGGCTGCTGAACGTTGGACAAGTTGTAGTTTCCGGGCCATCTTCAAGGGTAGCCCCACGTAGAGTGCACTGCAGTAGTCCAGAGGTAACTAAGGCATGGACTGCCATGGTCAAGTCAGACTTCATGAGGGAAGGTCGCAGTTGGCGCATGAGTTTCAATTGTGCGAAGGCCCTCCCAGCCACCGCCGACACCTGCGCATCAAGCGTCAGCACTGAATCCAGGAGGACCCCCAAGCTGCGGACCTGTGACTTCAGACATGATTTAGGTTTCCGTTGATTCCATCTTTTCTGTTAAATAATGGCTTCAAACTACAGGAGAAGAGATGCCACCTGAACATGAGGAAGAACTTCCTAACTGTGTGAGCTGTTCAACAGTGGAACTCTCTGCCCCAGAGAGTGGTGAAGGCTCCTTCTTTTTATGTTTTTAAGCAGAGCCTGGATGGCCATCTGTCAGGGTGCTTTGATTGCAATTTTCCTGTTTCTTGTCAGGGGATTGGACTGAATGACCCACGAGGTCTTTTCCAACTCAAGGATTCTATGTTTGAGCCTGGAACCAGTGACCCCAGGCAGCTCCATTCCTCCTCTCCCAGGAATCCTTCTGCTTACCTGATTCAGTTCCACTTCATCCCAAAGGGGAAGAATCGGCTCAGGATTCGGCAACAGCATCATTCCAGCCTCTGGGAGAGAGAGAGAGAGAGAGAGCAAGGTGTGGAAAACTGATCACATACTCATGTCTCAGAGGTGACAATTACAGTCCTAAAAAGAAACCTACGAGGAAATGGCTCCATGAACACTGGAGCGTTCTCCAGCTCAGGAATATGTAAATTTTTGAGTTTTGGCCATTTTATCTCAAGCAGTGCTTTAAGTAGCTTGGATTGAAAGTAGTACTGGGCTTGGTAGTTCAATGGACTAAAGTTATTCTTTGTGGTCTGTTTGTCTACCATCTCAGTCTTAGGGCTCATCATAGGGCCCGTCCAGACAGGACCTTTATTGCAGTATCAACTCCAATAAATGAGGGGTTGTCCAGAGAAGAAGCCCCTCATTTCTAACCACAAGGAGAGCCAGCCGAAGCTTGTAATGGAGGATAGGTAAGTTTTTATTACCTTTCTAAGAGGTCTGGGGGCTTGGGGGGAGGTCCTCCAGATGTTCTCTCAGGGGAGTCCTGAAGGGAACATCTGGATACCTACCGCAGGAAGCATATGCTTCTGGGATAAAGTCCTGTCTGGATGCAGCCTTAGCTTCTTACCCTCCAATACTGCAGTCCCATCTCTTTCCTGCTTGAGCTCCTTCTGCCTGAGACTCTGGGTAGCGTCTGATGGAGGTTTCTCTGATGCAGGGACATTAGACTGGGCTTCAATGCAGCTATCTTGGGCCTGGAAGAGCACAGAGTATTCCAGAAGTAGTATGGAGAAAGATCAGGGTCTTCAAATTTGAGTAGAGCAGCAACTGAGCTTACAGTGGACATGGAGGTGAAAGCAGGAGGGGCAGAGAAAGGGGGGAAAGAGGCCGAGGGAGCAGGGTCTGACTTCTCCCTCACATCTGCCTCATCTTGGAAGGAAGGCAGGATGTATGTTTAATCTCTCCATCAGTCCCAAGGTGAGTGAAGCCAAGAGGCAATGCTCTCACCTGTCCTTCCTGCTTCTCGTCCTCTGCCCGACTCAGGAGGAAGCCTTCCGCCAGGGCCACCGCCTGGGAAGAGGTCTCTGCCCCACACTCTCGGACCCAGCTCCCCATCTCTGGGGGCAGGATGCTCAGGAACTGCTCCAGGATCACCAGGTCCAGCATCTCCGCCTTGGTGTGTTGCTCTGGCTTCAGCCACTGGCGGCAGAGAGAGTGGAGGCGGCTGCAAACCTCTCTGGGTCCCTCGCCCTCTCGGTAGGAGGAATGCCTGAAGCGCTGGCGCTGTCTGTCTGAGATATAAAGGTCCACACTCTGGGACTTACGTTTAGTTCTTTCCCAGGATGCTCCATTGCTCCCAATTCCTGATTCAGGTCCAGGTGAGTTGGGTCTCTCCATGTTGGAACGACTGTTGGTTGAAGAAGCAAACTGGATCCAAGATGCTTTTCCTCCCACTTCTTTCTAGGGAAAGAAATCCCTGAACAGGCTCGACTCCAAAATGTTCAGCCAACAATCACTTTTCCTCTGTGAAAGAAAGGCAGAATTAGACAACTGGCTTCCGGGGGGGGGGGGGGGGGGGTTCTTGGAGAGTAAAAAAAAAAAACACAAGCCCTTTATTTATTTATTTTGAAAGGGTTAAGAGAACTTAGAAGTGTTTAAATGCTGAAATGCAAACCTAAAGAGAAGCTTGTCCCTCTCCTCTGGCCTGCAGAAGACCAAAAGCTAAGAGGAGATAATGTATCTAGAAGACACAAGATGCTCTGTTGTCAAGTACGCCCAGGGAGTACCCAGGGTGGGTTAACACCCAAAATGCTTATCTGTAACAATAATGTGTGTGTTTACGTAGTTTGTAGAAGGTTATCAGTTAGAGACACTGAAGTACCAAAATATGAGAAAAACATGTTTTTGAATGGTTGATCCAATAAGAGAGGTGTGTGCCCATGACACAGCAAAAAGACATGTATATAAGGTGACTGAAAGATCCAAAAGTCAGAGACAGCCTTCTTTGAAGACACTGGTCTGTCTTGGCTGTTTCTCCCTGTGTGGCCACACCTGAATAAACATTTTGCTTCACCTACGGAGACTGCTTGCTTTCTGTCACCAGCCTTGGGGTGCCTAACTAAAGGGGTACCCTTCAATTTCAGGTAATGCTGGGCCCTCTTTCCACTTGGGCCTCTGCTTTTCCGGCCTCCAGGGGTTGTCTAACTAAAGGGGTACCCTTCAATTTCAGGTAATGCTGGGTCCTCTTTCCACTTGGGCCTCTACTTCTCCGGCCTCCAGACCCACCTGGCCTCCCATTGAACTCCTACTCAGTCCCAACACACACTGAAACCCCCCCGTGATTCCTTCAGCCGATGCCTCATGATCCATAGCCTTCCTTGTGAAGAAGAACCAAGAGACAAAAATCAATATAACGACTAAACTAAAATACTTGGAAATCCAGATGGCAAGCGGATACTCTGAATTATTTAAAACTGCGGCCCTCCTTCCAAGTGTTTTGGGCTTCAGTCCCTCTTTGGCCCTTCGGAGGAGGTCTGGGAAGAAGACTCACCGGAAGGAGAAGAAGCAGAAGGAGGAGAAGATGATGAGAGAAGAGACAGGCTGCAAGGAGGAGGACCACCTGCTGCAATGCAACCTGAGCCCTGCCACATGCACAATGGAGGACCTCCTTGCAGCAACACCAGAGGCACTCCAAGCGGCCAGATACTGGTCAAAGGACATTTAATCAACTACCAAGTTTGCAAATTCTGTGTTTTGTCTGATTGTTTTTGTTAAAAATGTAATACAAATGCCTGGTTGCTGATGACATGATAAATAAAATAAACAGGAGGAGGAGGAGAAAGAGTCCAAAGGAACAGACTCCCCTCTCCCAGCTGGGCAAGGAAGGGTGAAGGGGAGGGAGTTTGGTTCCTAGAAGGACAGGAAATGTGGGTCTGAGGAGGCCACTTCCTTCTTGCCTCTCTGGGAACCACACTCCCTCCCCTTAACCCTTCCTTGTCCAGTGTTACACTGGAAGGAGGGGGAAAGAGCATCTCTCCAAAGCCCTGCAACCAGAGGACTAAAGTTGATGGCAGAGATAGAATCATGGAAGAAAAAATCCGTATTCATAGGGCTGTTAGATATCTTCTCTCCCTGCAGAGCAGAGCCTCCACCCACAACAGGGAAAGAGGCCTCATCCCAGGCTCAAGGCCCAGGGCTCCCTTTTCCCAAGGAGGAGGAACACAGACTTGGGTGGGAGAGACAACAATACAGATTTAAAGATGGGCTGAAAGCCAACCTCAAAAACTGTGGCATAGACACCGAGAACTGGGAAGCCCTGGCCCTTGAGGGCTCTACCTGGAGGTCGGCTGTGACCAGCAGTGCTGTGGAATTCAAAGAGGCACGAATGGAGGATGAAAGAAAGAAACGTGGCAAGAGGAAGGTGCATCAAGCCAACCCTGACTGGGACCACCTTCCGTCTGGAAACCGATGCCCTCACTGCAGGAGACCTCACTACCTCTGAGGATGCTTGCCATAGATGCAGGCGAAACGTCAGGAGAGAAAGCCTCTAGAACATGGCCATATTGCCTGAAAAAACTTACAACAACCCTTGACATGTAGCTGATGAACAAGCACTTCCATTCATTTTTGCTGACTTTGGTAAAGTTTCTTCTTTTAAAAAATATCTCCCTTATTTATTTCCATGGTATTTAAATACAATGAAGATTTCAAGCTGATGTTGTGTCTGCTGCCATTAGTTATTTAATTCGACACTTTTTTCTCACAAAATAGTATCCTTGATCATACAGCAGCTGCAATAAAACAAACAGTCTTTGTTTAAACTTCACAAAATAGGTGCATTACACCTATTTGCCCTCAAACTCATGCCCTCAAACTCATGGTCAGTTTGCCTGAAAACATAACATTTCATAACTATTCTCTTTTTGTATGTCAAAAGGAGTTACGTTGCAGAAGAGATGCAAAACTGCAATCTGGGAAACCAGCTTGAAAGCATCTGGATCAGAATCAAGGGATGTGGGACTCATCCCGCCCCCACGTAGTTTAAAAGCTGCCTTCGTTTGGAAAGATTACCCTGCGCGCAGCATAAGGAGAAAGGGAGGTATGCACGTGTGTAGCGCATTTGTGGCAATAGGAGGAGGAGGCATGTGCCTCCCTTACTGCTTTTGCCATGCATGCTGCCTCTCTTTCTCCTTTTGCCACATGCACGGTAACTTTTCCACAGCAGCTTTTATACTACATGAGGGCGAGATGAAAAATATATATCAAAGGAGCAGCAGAGTTGGTAATTGTCTGGAAAGGCACCCGGTGCACGGGCAAGAGGTGAGGGTCCTGGCAGAAAGGCATGTGGACTAAAGATGGGCTTTTTTCAGCCACATGCCTTCTTGCCAGGACCCTCACCTGAGTATAAGCCAAGGGGAGGTTTTTCATCCTAAAAAAAGGGCTGAAAAACTTGGCTTATACTTGAGTATATACAGTATATATATTTTTAAAATAAGTGGCATGACAATTGTATTTAACCCTCTCAAGGATTATCACAGGGAGCTTGCTTTCTGCTGTTCCAAGAACAGGACCCTTACTTAGGGATTTAAATGACAAGAAAGGGGACTCTCAAACACAAAACAATCTATGCGTAATGTCAAAGTGTATTATCAAAAGAGCATATAGTATTCCGTTTACCAAAATCCCCAGTACATAGCTCAATTCAGTGGTACACAGAAATAAAAAGGAGCAGCCACTCTCAAAACAATCTTCATGGAGCAAATCCAACTCAAGTCCAGTGAAAATGGAGCATTGCTTCTAAATTAAGTCTTCAAAGGAAAAGTCCAAACGGGGAAAGCAATCCTGTGAATTTACTTCACACTGTGAATTTACTTCAAGCAGAGTCACTTTTTGTATAAGCTATCTGGCATGATATAAGAGTCTAGAGTTGTTGACTTCATCAACTCCTGAGGAAGGGGATTGCTTTCCCCGTTTGGACTTTTCCTTTGAAGACTTAATTTGAGAAGCAATGCTCCATTTTCACTGGACTTGAGTTGGATTTGTTCCATGAAGATTGTTTTGAGAGTGGCGCTACATCTTCATTATTGTCTTCAATTTACATATAGCCTCACGACTCAATGATTACTTTGTTTATGTGACTTTTCTTACTGAATGTATCCCTGAAGCCTATATACAGTGGAATCCTTATCCAGACCTAGAACTATTACGTTTGAGAGCGGCTGCTCCTTTTGATTTCTGTGTACCACTGAATTGAGCTATGCACTGGGGATTTTGGTAAATGGAATACTATATGCTCTTTTGATAATACACTTTGACATTACGCATAGATTGTTTTGTGTTTGTGCTGATACCTTACAAGTACTCTGGGATATTGTGTAGAAGAAAGGGGACTCTACCAAATCTTAGGCTGAACTTCTCAAAGCACTCTGTTTGAAATCAGATGTTTACCCACAAAGACTGACCATGAGAAAGGCAGTCCAGTCCCATGGTGATGCCAGTGTCCAGATAAGCAAAAGAGTTCTCCAATACCCAAGACAAACAAAGCAAAATAATCATAATAATAAATGAACAAGAGTTCAAAACCAAGCAGAGAGTTGTCTAAGAGATCAGTCCAAAGTCAAGCCAAGTCCTACTTGAAGCCAAGGGAACCACACATGTTCATTGGGAAATGTTGAATGTTTCGTCTACTGCACCAGAATATCCAGAACCCGCTATTTTCCTGTTGTGACAGATTTTATTAGTTTTGTCCCAGCTCTTTGGATGGTTTCTCTCCTGTACGTAGTCTCTGACAGTTCAAAAAGTATGAACCCTGATAAATATATTTCCTGCATGCCTAGCATTTGTTTGTTTTTTAACCTGTGTGAATTCTCTGGTGCTTCGTAACGGATGAAGTGTGAGTAAAACATTTCCCACAATCTGGTCATCTGTATGGTTTTACTCCTGTGTGAATTCTCTGGTGGTTTAGAAGGGATGAATTCTGAGTAAGAGATTGTCCACAATCCTGACATTTGTACAGTTTCTTTCATGTATGGATGATCTGGTGTTTCACAAGTGATAACTTCCAAGGAAAACACTTCACACACTCCTAGCATTGGTATGGCTTCTCCCCTGTGTAGAGTCTTTCGTGCTTCAGCAAATCTGAACTCCAAGCAAAACATTTCTCATACTTCTGGCATTGCTATGGTTTCTCTCCCGCATGGAGTCTTTTGTGCTTCACAAAGTCTGAACTCCAAGCAAAATATTTCTCACACTCCTGGCATTGGTATGGCTTCTCTCCTGTGTGAAGTCTTTTGTGGCTCAACAAAGAGGAACTGTGGGCAAAACATTTCCCACACTCCTGGCATTTACCCTTTCTTTCCTGTGTGAAGTTTTTTATGTCTCACCAAGTATGAACTGTAAGCAAAACATTTCCCACACTCCTGGCATTGGTATGGCTTCTCTCCTGTGTGGAGTCTTTTGTGGCTCACCAAGGCTGAACTGTCAGCAAAACATTTCCCACACTCCTGGCATTGGTATGGCTTCTCTCCTGTGTGGAGTCTTTTGTGTTTCACCAGGGCTGAACTGTCAGCAAAACATTTCCCACACTCCTGGCATTGGTATGTGTTCTCTCCTGTATGGAGTTTTTTGTGTGTCACAAAGTGTGAACTGTATGCAAAACATTTCCCACAGTCCTGGCATTGGTAAGTCTTCTCTCCTGTGTGGAGTCTTTTGTGCCTCACCAAGTATGAATTTAGAGCAAAACATTTCCCACACTCCTGGCATTGGTGTGGCTTCTCTCCTGTGTGAAGTCTTTTGTGCCTCACCAAGTGTGAATTTTGAGCAAAACATTTCCCACACTCTTGGCATTGGTATGGCTTCTCTCCAGTGTGAAGTCTTTTGCATTTCACCAGGGCTGAACTGTCAGCAAAACATTTCCCACACTCCTGGCATTGGTATGGCTTCTCTCCTGTGTGGAGTCTTTTGTGCTTCACCAAGTCTGCACTGCGAGCAAAACATTTCCCACACTCCTGGCATTGGTATGGCTTCTCACCTGTATGGAGTTTTGTGTGTGTCATCAAGTGTGAACTGTATGCAAAACATTTCCCACACTCCTCGCATTTGTAAGGCTTCTCTCCTGTGTGAACTCTTTTGTGGTTCACCAAGTCTGAATTGCGAGCAAAACATTTCCCACACTCCTGGCATTGGTAAGTCTTCTCTCCTGTGTGGAGTCTTTTGTGCCTCACCAAGTATGAATTTAGAGCAAAACATTTCCCACACTCCTGGCATTGGTGTGGCTTCTCTCCTGTGTGAAGTCTTTTGTGCCTCACCAAGTGTGAATTTTGAGCAAAACATTTCCCACACTCTTGGCATTGGTATGGCTTCTCTCCAGTGTGAAGTCTTTTGCATTTCACCAGGGCTGAACTGTCAGCAAAACATTTCCCACACTCCTGGCATTGGTGTTGCTTCTCTCCTGTGTGAAGTCTTTTGTGCCTCACCAAGTATGAACTGCCAGCAAAACATTTCCCACACTCCTGGCATTGGTATGGCTTCTCTCCTGTGTGCAGTCTTTTGTGCCTCACCAAGGCTGAACTGTAGGCAAAACATTTCCCACACTCCTGGCACTGGTATGGTTTCTCTCCAGTGTGAAGTCTTTTGTGATTCCCCAGGGCTGAACTGTCAGCAAAACATTTCCCACACTCCTGGCATTGGTGTGGCTTCTCTCCTGTGTGGAGTCTTTTGTGGCTCACCAAGTCTGAACCGGCAAAACATTTCCCACACTCCTGGCATTGGTGTGGCTTCTTCCCTGTGTGGAGTCTTTTGTGGCTCACCAAGGCGGAACTGTCAGCAAAACATTTCCTACACTCCTGGCATTGGTATGGCTTCTCT